TAATATATTACAAAACTGGAGAAGCTAATTCTCTCTCCTCTATTGTTAATTTTTGATATAATATGAACTATTTTGATATAATAAATATTCTAAGCAGCTAACATTCGCTGAATACTTACTATATGCTAGGCATTATACTGATTGCTTTATGTGCATATTATTTAATTCTCCAAATAAATCCTATGAGATAGGTACTACTACTATATTTGTTTTATATACAAGGGAACTGACATGAGTTACAAAGTTATTAAAAATAAGACTGAAACCCAAGTCTGTCCAACTCTTAAGAGTCGGAATTTTTAACCCTGAAGCTATTCTGTTGACAGATAAATAAGAACACAGAATAACTCTCAAATCTACTTTAAATACTCACTAGCATGGTGACATATCAGGTCAGTAAGTCTAAGAAATGCTAAGCGAAGTGTTGCAGGAAAGTTGAATTTTCTAGGCTGGGTCTCCCCTGGTTTTATGCTAAACTTCCATCATCAGAGTGCAGTAACATGCTGCACAAAAAAAGGCCGATTGATATCCATGCTGAGATTTTTGCCTTTTGATACCCAGATTGGTTTTAGATTTGCTAATCTGTAAGAAAAAATTGAAATGCGCACATGCACACACACAGAGAGGCCCATTTCACTAATTTCAAGTGGGAAAAAACAAAAAGTAGGAAAAAAAATGGACATCACAGTATGAAGTCCTAGTTAAAACTCTTGGAATCTTTGACTAATTTGTTTGTGTGTGTGTGTGAACTTGAAGAATTCAATTAAACGCTCTTTACAGATTCCCTAACCAAGTGTAGTCAATCCTCCATATCTGTGGATTCCCTACCCATGTACTCAACCAACCATGGATCAAAAATATTCAGGAAATAAAAACAATAGAAAATAACAACACAACAATAAAAATAGTACAAATTAAAAATAACACAATACAGTATAACAACTATTTCCATTGTAGTAGATATTATAAGTAATCTAGAGATGATATAAAGTTTATGAGAGGGTGTGTGCATGTTATTGCAAATACTTATGCCATTTTATAAAATGGACTTGAGCATCCTTGGATTTTGGAGTTTATAAGTTTATGAGAGGGTGTGCGCATGTTATTGCAAATACTTATGCCATTTTATAAAATGGACTTGAGCATCCTTGGATTTTGGTATCTGTGAGAGGTTCTGGAACCAATTCCTTGTGAATACCATGGGACAACTGTACTATGAATTTGAAAAGTAATTGAAATAGTTCAGTGCTGAGGAAAAAGCATGGGCAAATGCTTTTGAAAATGTCATATGGAAATAGATTTCAATTCTAGGTACACTACTTGCCATCTGATTGTGGTTGAGTTTCTAAACTACTAAAATATGATTTTAGGCAAGTCACTAAAATAAACTACACTAAGCATTGGTGCTCATGTGCAAAATAGCAGTAAAAATGCATAGTATGATAGTCTTTGCTGTCAGACTTAGATGAAATAACATATGCACAATCCCTAAGATAGTGCCTGGCATGAAGGACGGTTCAATAAATGTTGCTATCTTTCATTCCTGCAATAAAATCCTCAGGAGCTATGGGGTTTCTTAACATGAAAACAGAATGTGAAAATCATCTTCTAAATTTTGTCCATTTGAAAAATTCCCAAGTTTTAATGGACTATTTTGGAGCTACACAAACATTACCATGGAGCATGATTATAGCCATTCTACATTCTGTTTTTTACCAAAGAATGTATATGTCTTACAGTGTGTTGAAAGATTCAAAATGTAACAGAACATTAGTGAAGACAGAATAAGGCAGAAAAGGATCTCAAAACCATAAGACCTTGTGAAAATACAGTCTACTCCAAGGTGAAAATTCTTAATTTTAATTCAACACTGATTGTGACCATCCCCCTGCCCCCGCCCTTCTTTCAGCAATCCTACCAGTGGCAGGCTGTGTTCTATCTTTTCAAGGAATTTCCCAGTCACTAACAAGATATCTGCATCCTACTATTCTGGTAGGACGAGTCAGTCTGATTATCAC